AGTCAGAGCTTCCTATTAGTATGTTTTTTTAGCGAATTTCCCATATAGGGAATACGCTATTACCGTAGTACTCATGGTAAGACCTGGACCCGGGACATATTTACTTTTTCATTTTGAGGTCCCTAGAGGCCAAAAACACCTTCAAATTCAGAGATATGAATATATATACATGTGTCCGTTAGCACGATAACTAAAGAAAAAAAACCGATCTTGGTATAAACGTGTAAACCTACATTTATTTGAACGAGTTCACGAACCAGCATGATCGGACTATGGGAACGGGGGGTTTATGGGGTTTTTTTGGGGGTAAAAATAGGCTTTTCCCATTTTTTACCCTAAAAACACAACATTTCGCAAATTCTTTTTAAACCATTTTTTAGAGCTTAAAAAACAAATAATTGATTATGTTGAAGTGTTATTGTGCGCCTAATAGTTACGGAGAAAATTCCAAAAAAATTTAAATTTAAAATTTCAATGTAATTTTTATGGAGAAAAAGTCAACTGTTGTGGTTTGCTTGTTTATGGACATATTTTGATCGAATTTGGAAAATACTTAAAAACGTACAACAAAAAGACTTTCTTATTATCCCTGTTCCAGCAAACCTAAGTACTTGTTTAATTAATTCTATTTGAATAGGGAATAAATGTGATATTTTTAAGGAGACGTTTTAGCTTAAATCTAATCAGGCAAATGCAAATTCGCTTAGTCTGCAGGTTTGCTACGACTAGGGTATTTTTTACTCGTAGTGTTTTTTTTATAGATATTATTGTTGGATGAGCTCAACAAATTCATTGTGTTCATTATTAACATCTCAAACTGTGTTTACATTTAATTGTAAAATGAATATAAAGAACTGTTATACTTATTTAAAAATATATGTCAAGAGCAACTTTGCACATTCAATTAGAATGCAACAGCTACTCATTACTATTTTGTAAGAAAAATATGATACGCGATTAATTTTGTTTACAATGTAATTATTATTTAACTAAGGTAAATGTATAGAAACGGTGAGTTTATATAATTTAAACATATCTTTAGCCCCCATCTTATACAGGCTTGTCCAATACATTCAGTAGCCCTTCATTTTTACGAACTATTGCGTTGTTATAGAATTATTTGTCCCTTCTTTTACTCTGAGTGGTTTTTTAGTAAATATTTTTACGAATTTGGTGGTTATCCTTAATATTACCTTAATGATTTAGGTTCTTCTTAAACTGAGAGCGGAATCAGATTCCATATTTAGAAAGTGAAAATAGTTTTTACTAAATGTGATGAAGAATTTAGCCACTATTCCTTAAACAACATACTGATCGTGTGAAAATTATTAGGATAAGAAAAAAACGGGTATTCAACTAAATACATAATATTTAACAAAACCAAAGACGTGTTTCCAGAATAAGTTTTGTATACAGTCAAACTATATCATTGCTACGAAGGTCGAAACATGTTCCAGTCCCGTCGTTTCCCACTGCGATGCGATTCCCTTTTATGACCTCAAGGCAGTCGTACGTTTTATGGCTGAACCAAGCTGCAAAAGCGTTAAGGTTGAACTGGTGTTAAGGCGAAATCTATCATTCTTGAGATTTTGTATAAAGTGAATTTATATCAGATGTTTCTGTTGAAATCTATTTTAATTTTGCAGAGAATTATCAAAACGATCATGTTTTTATTTCAACAACATAAGTCGTACTGTAGTTATAGGTGGGATTTTACATAGAAACTATAAGCTTTTTAGATTAATTACTTTTGTTTCTTTTAGTGAATTTCCCATATAGGGAAAAAACTATTGCCGTAGGTTTCATGGTAAGACCTAGACCCGGGACCGATTTACTTTTTATTTTTGATAAAATTTAGTACAAACGTGTAAATCAACGTTTCTTTAACGAGGTCGCCAACTAGCTTGATCGGACAAAAAAACGGGGTTTTAAGGGGTAAAAATAGTTTTTCCTCATTTTTGACTCTAAAAACAGAAAATTTCACAATTTCTTTCCAGAAAATTTTTTAGAGCTTAAAAATATCAATAATCTTTTATATTAAAGCGTTGTTGCATGCCTAACGGTTACGTAGATGATAAAAAAAACAATTTTAAAATGTATATGTTGTTCTTATAAAGAATAAAAAAAACTGTTGTAGTTTGTTTATGGATATATTTTGATCAGATTTGCCAATTTTGTTTATTTCATACTAAGCTATCAACATTTCAATAAAAACACACCTCAATAGATTCCCAGTAGCAGCAAACCTAGTTACTCATTAAAATTAATGTTTATTAAATACGAAATAAAACTCACAATTTTCAGGGAATATTTTAGTAGAAACTAAACCAGGTAAATGGAAATTAGCTTAGTCTGCAGGTTTGCTGCAGCAGGGTTAATTTGTATATTTGCAAACGGTCTCCTTTGACTTCTGGAGTAAAGAGGCTCAACCATTTAACTCCATCTATTTGCTTGCAGCATTATTATTGTTTAACTATTTGAGAATGCATTATAAACCCAAAACAAATTTAATATATTTGACAGTGATGCTATACATTTTTTACATTTTATTGTAGTTTTATTTGAATTTTAAGTAGTTACGTAACAAACTTGAGTCCAGTTGATTCAAAATATTTTGCTGAAAATCATAGTTTATAATGTGACCAAAAATACTTTCAGAAAATCAAAAAAAAGGGTTATTTTACTTTACCACAAATCAAAGTACTGCTACTAGTAAAATTTATTTAGAATTTAGAAGACAATAAATATAAACAATATTTTTATACTAGATTGATTAAACAGACCGTAGTGAGTAATGCAATAATCTAAAGTTGTATTACTCATTGTGTCCTATCAAATAATTTACTTGATTTATTTTAATATTCTATAATATACACAATATAACTACATTTTTTTCCATTTTCATTTCAATCAGAGAAGATTTACCAACACTATGTGAATTAAAAGGCTTAGCGTCAAACCACATCCTAATTATTATTACAAATGGATTATTTCTTTATTATACGAATCTTGGATCCATATTCCGATAAAATTACGCCATTCGTTGAAGGACAACGACAACTAGCCAAAAAGGTAATAACCAAAGGTTTTATGCAGACGGCGCCGTCCCTGGAGTGCCGCACACAATCTTTTATTTGCCCCACAATGAATATTTATGCTACTGGAAAGTCTGGTCTCAACTGAAGGCTATAATGGAAAACTGAATCACCCGCGTATATTCGGAAATGTGAGCATTTCGAGGAAATACCATTTCAGTTTGTGTTTTATAGAATGTAATTTATCGGTGGTGTAATGTGTAACCCGAGTTGGGTGTGTTTTCTTACAAATTACTATTGTTTACGACTACGTATGGGAGCAATAACCTTATTGAACATCTGTAAGAGTAATGCTATCACAGTGTTTTAGTGCGTTTTGTAGATCATATGCGAGAAGCAAGTCGCCTTGATAAGTTTTTACTCATATAGAATTTTTGATAAATAAATTTGTATCTGTATCCAACAAAAGTAAGCACTAAAAAAATTATAAACGCAAGTCTTTCATGATGTTATGATGTGTTTAAACTTCATTTGTTGTGTATATTTTTATTAATGTGAATTTATTATGCAATATTGTGACCTGTGTATTATATGTATCCGATCTGAAAGAGAAAATAAACAAACATTCTATTCATTATATTCTATTCTATGTGTTAAAACATACTTTTGTATCCATTTTAGCTTATTGTGGCTGATTTAAAATCATCGCAACATAATTGTCCGCATTATATTCAGTTTTCGTTGAGGTGGATTTTTATCTCACCCATTTTCTGACAGGCCACGGATTTTTCCAGTCGTATCTATTCAGGATAGGCAAAGCTGTGTCACCCGATTGTAAAAATATCTACTGCCAACTGTATATCTACTGCCTAGGCACCCCCGACGACGAGGAACACACTTTTCACGCTACCCACGTTGGGAAAGGCCCCACCTTGAGGCTCAATACAACGTAGGACTGCTTGCTGTCTACACGGCCATCCAAATGAAGACGGTCACATTTACAAGGGTCTGACATTTAAGAAGGTGAGGACAATGGGACCTGTGTGTTACATTTCGTCCAGGGTATTCTCCGTGCCAAGAAGCTTTACCTCAACCGAGATGCGGGCTAGGAAATAAAATATGAAAATGACAGAAACCGTGGGAGCCCTGGGGCTTTGGTCACACGATGGCCTGAATTGGTAAAATTTGACAATCAATCCTAGGTATGTGTCCAACAGAGAAGAGGGGTTTTTTTAGTGAATAGTCCTCTCAACAGTCTCACACTACAGGTTGGCCACATGTGTGAGTAAAAGCATTTTCTCTCCTCTGAAAGATTTTCAATGTCGTTTTAAAATTCAAGACAAGATTTTTGAGTTATTAAGTCTCAATCCTCATTTCGTTTGTAAAGTGAGCATGTTTCTTGTTCAGTTATAAAGTAGTGAAGGAAATTTCTGTTTGATAATTGTGATAGTTATTATCAATAATGTATTCTTTAACAAACAGTTCACTAATAAAATCCACATATGAGAAATCTCTAATTTTAGTAACTCCTAAGATCCAAGTAACTAAAATATGTTCAGCTATGAATCTCCGCAAGGAACTATTTAATTTCCATCACGAACCAAGTTCACATGATTTTAACAACTTCATCCTCGAAATTAATTTTCGTGGAAAACCTAAGACCTTCCCAAACAAATACTGTATTCACACCTCACCGAATTATAAACACCTTGCATAAACACCTGTTGTCAACCCACTTCATTCGCTGACAGTTTCCTAACAGCTTTTGTCCCCATGTCAAACTCAGCGACAAGCCAAGCACCTTTAATTACTTAATGAAAACAGCTTACAAATGTATGACAGACGTTCTAAGACAACACGTGGCTTTGTCTGCCGAAGCAACAAGCCCAGGTCGATGCTGAGGAAGCGCGCAGAATCAACGCGGCACGCTTCGCTATACAGTTATACAGTCGAGATGCGACGCTCCTCATGGCTACACTGCTGCTCCTGCTGATAGTCGGCGTCGTCTGCGTCGGCTCCGACAACGTCGGTAGGTCTCAACTTATCGCAATATTGAAAATAAACTTATGGAAAGGAGTGAAACGCTCATAAGTGGAAGAAACTGTAGTTATTGAATAGAATACAAAGAGTTTGAAAGTATGAAGTTAAAAAGTTAGTTGATAAATTTTAAAGTAAACAAATTGGAAAAAAAAGTATTAAAGTTTCGACCTTTTGACCGTTACAAAATTTAAGTAAGATTATTAAGATTATTTGTTACAAAGAAAGTAAAATAGTTTAAGTTCTGCAATGTAATTAGTTTGGTGGACCGATATAAATTATCTTCCTATTAGAGTCTATTTTAAATAGTTGTTATTTTTATACAGTTTTGTTGTTTTGAAGTATTTAAAAGTAAGACGTTAAAAGAATAACGTATAACTATATTACTTCAGTACTAAATTATTCTTTGTCCATTGACAATAGTTTAGTTTATCACAAAAAGGTATAATTAATGTACCATTTTCTATATGAACTCCAAGTTGTTATGTAATGTAAAAAAGAGGATCTTAAAACAGGATGGTATAAATCACTATCAAATAATGTTGTACGTTGTTATCGTCGACATTAAGGATTGCTTTATTATGACGATTACGTCCGGAGTTTCAAGTGAACGGAGATCTTCTACTTTGGTATTTAAAATTCCGTATGACAAAATGTTGTTCCCAATTTTGTGCCCCTCAAAAAAATTAAATACAACATCGATATACATTCTTTGGACCGTTGATATTGTTGGTTTTCATTCCAAAAATTACAATTATTGTGGAGCTACTGAAGAAATAGGTTTCTTTCCGAATCTACAAGAGAATACTAAGGTTTAATAGAAGTGCATGTATTATAAACGCTAACATAACGCTAAGTGTAGACTATTTAACATATGAATCGTTTCGCACAAAAAAACCTTTGTTAAAACAGATTGAGCGTACTATGATTCGGTAAAGAGCAAAAAATGGGTATAATTTGTTACAAAAACACTGAGTTAATAAAAAACAAAATTATGGTAAAAAAATTAAATATACATAAACAAAAAAATTACAAGCCCACAGACATAAAATACTGGAGTCTTAAAAATATATTTTTAATAATTTACTCGAATCCTTTTTTTTTTAAATCGTCCCTCGAAAAGCTTCACACTATTTTCCTTCATTTTTTTCTATTTATCGATATTAAAACATATATATTATTATCTGCATTAAAAATAAAGTAGAATAAAACAGTTCGTATACTGAATAATAAATGTTATTTTAACTTGCAATAGTTGTTGGTGTGAAGCCGCTGCGACTCATGAATTATGTATTTAGAAACCTCGTATCCAATCTTGTATTCAAATTGCGTCCAAACACGTCAAATTGGCAGCGTCTGCCGTCCAACTTTTCCGCCATAACCTTATCAGCGGGCTTTGTTTTCCCCTCCATTATCGAAGCTTATTGAACTTGACTGCTCGTCCATAAAAATAAAACCACTTGCCGGAAGTGATTAAGGTTTCGTTATTAAAAAAAGTGTTTTAAAAGGTTATTGTTTACTAAAAAGATAACAGGAGCTGAATTTACTGACGAGATTGAATTTGAATATAAACATCAATTTATTTTAAAAATTTGCATTATAAACCAAATCGGATTCGTTATAATCTAGTATAAATATATCCTGCTCCAATTGGTAATGACGTATACAAATCATAGCCTAAGTTTTTTTAATTTTTTATTTTCCTACAAATAGTAATTTATTTGGGTTTTATGTTTTTAACTAGTAAACTCTGGCTATGCAAACGAGGATAGCGGCAGCCTTCATGTAGTTCAAATCTGTTTTTCAAAACATTTTTACAGATATAAATTAAATCGTGAATTTTATCTTAGTTTGGTGAATTTTCTTGTGAAGGCTTCTTCACTCTTCCCCAAAAAATGCTTTCATTTTGGAAATTATGGTTCGAGTTCTAAAATTATTCCATTTCATTCTTCGGCTGTCTTCTTCTGTTGATTAGACTATTAATTGTGTAATGATGTAATAATGTAATAATAATACTATGTTGAACGACATAGAATTGCAAATATAGAGATAAAAAAACTGGAATCTTATTTCACCTTGAAAATAATAGTAATCATGTATTATCTTTGTCCTAAAGCATTCATTATAATTTATAGTGTTCCCAAGTAAGCATCCCTTTAATAATATTGTCATACAGAAGTACGATTAACATGATTTTTTTTTGGATGTATAAAGTAGCCTATTTTCTCGAAATATATAAAAAAATTAAAAGCCTTAGGAAGCAAGCCATTTTCTATGAACAGTTTATCACTGTTTGATAGTATTGCTAATTGTAATGTGGGCATATTAAAAAAGGATACAAAATTACTAGTGTATCTAAATGGTTATGAATTATAAACATATAGCAACAAGTAGTAACAAGGGTAGGGGGTGTAGTTTTAGTGACAAGGGGTATCTTAAAAAATAAATAATCTTAACATGGATAGTTATTATGAGTATATGAGTGTAGATTTGTTTGAAAGAAAGAAAACGTAATAACTGGTAGTTCACATCCCTAATGAACGACATGGTGCACTGCAGGCTGTACCGCATGAGGTTTATGATCTCAGGTTTATACTGTCGTCAAATCACAAAAAATACAGCAGAATGTTACGCAGATGGGTAAGGACAGAAAAAGCCTAAATGATGCAAATGCACTAAGTCATTAGAGATATATAAGCATAATTTTATTACATGTCATGAAATAACTTTTGATCACAGATATACTTGATGAATTCTTTCAAACTCAGAAACTATTTACTCTGTGCGAGTAAATAAATGAAATACAATTGTACTTTTGATATTTATGTGTAACCCTTACTTCACGTTGGTGGATAGCTTTATCAAAGATCTTGCGCCCTAGATTATATGTCTTGTGGTTGTTTTTATTACCTTCTTTCACGCTCTTACATGTTTATGTTGGCTTCCAGTTATTACCTTTAGAGCAATATAACACCGACGCGTTATGAATATACAAGATTTAATGATGCATCATCCGTGTATTACTAATAACTTTGAGAATCGGAAATATTGAGAGAAAAAACCTTTGTTCACTTCATCAATTATACATATTAGATAACTGTAAGCGAATAGCGAATAAGAATAACACTTTTAAAAGATTCTATTTGAAGAAAAACTTTTGATGGAACAAAATGAAACGGAAATCAGGAATAACTTACTTTTTTAAAAAAGCCTTGTTTACGTTTTGTTTTTTGTGTTGTAAAATAATATACACTATAAAAAACTATCAGGCTAATAAAAAACTTAGTTGGTATCAAAGGCGTGCTTGTTTTCAAATTAAATTACTAAGAATGACTGATTTTATGGAAATATTTCAAAATAACTTTTATTTTTCATTTTAGATTTCCTATAAAACATTAAGCTATAAAAGATTGAATAATAAATAGCTAAGAAAACTAAAATTTCACGCGGAAAATGAGGCGAAGCTTTAAAGATTTAAATACTATATTTGTATATTCACAACAACTAGTTTAAATTGATGCAAAACTATTAGTCAATTGAATTCCCATTTGCATGAACTATTTTTAATTATAATCCTAATACCAATACTTATATTATGGCGCCATTGCTTACATATTACAAACTAGAAAAGGTTAACAAAAATGCTTTAAAATAATCTTTGTTTTGACCTCCAAATCTCTTAAAACATAACAAAAATATATTTATTCTTTTGAAATTTTAAACAATACTGTCTACGTATACACAGTATAAGTGTGTAAAAGTTTAAAAAGTGTTCAACAAAAATATATTTTATAAGAGCTTGATTTGGCAATCGTTTTAATTAAATTTTACCACTAATAGATAATAACAATAAAAAACAATCCTTCTTCAAAGGTTTAGGCTATATATAAAGTTTCAAAGATTTTCTATAAGTTGAGAAAAGAAGTAAATAGCTCACAGTATATACCGTCGTCAGTATATTCAAAGTCGCTTTCAATCTGGCAAGACGAGGATATACAAAGCAGAGTGATTTGTATAGAACCTTTCTGGTCCTGCAAAACAGAAATGTTCGGTCTAGAGTTTTTGTTTAAGTCAACGAATAAGTCCCTTATAGCTGTTACATAGTGTTATGAATTAAGGTGCAACATTAGAATCAGATTGTATTATCATATTATTATCATCAGTTATTCTTAAGGACCAGTAATTATCTTCTTCCTGTGTCAAAATACCATAATATTTAAACAGTGCAACGAAATTGCTATGAAAAACGCTAGGGAAAAATTATGCATTGCTGAGGTACTGCTCCAAAGGTATGAGCATGGTCAAGTAGTTGACAAAAAGTTATTGTAAAAAATCAATGCTGAAGCACAACTCAAATAATTTGTTTTAAGGCAGCACAATACCTAGATACTACCAAATGTAACGTATTATAAAAAAAATTTAGTACAACTCGAGTAAATATATATCTAAATCCTTAATTAGACTCCCAACAAAGTTTGATAACTAGTTAACCAGATGCATTGACACAGCAGAAGTTTGTTGTTGAGGGTAGTTATTTACTCACCCCTAACTCCGGTCCAGCGGGCCCGTGACAACTGACCACGGAAGTTAGTAGCGGTGCGCCACCATACCGCAGAACTGCTGTTGCGCTGCCAACTCTACACAATATTTGGTACCCTAAACGGTCAGAGACTGCTTAACTTCGGTAAACTCTGATTCGGTTGGAAAACATTTGGTTATCATGATTTACGAACAAAACATTTACCGCAAATAAAATGACAAGAAATCTCTTACAGTTATATTTATATTCATAATTAAAATGGGTTTTGCGTGTTGCTTTGGTGTAACATCCTTCACAGGAGATATTTATCTTTACAAATAGTATATAGTTGAAAATATTCTAATATATGATGTTTACTTACATAGATAGCTCACTGCATTGTTTCCATTCTATAATATTGATGATAACGAGTGACAGTATCGAGATACCTAAACGTAAATTTTTCTGTAACT